TAGACGCCCATGACATATTCTAGTCACCATGAGAAGAAGGGTTGACCGATGTTTCCATAGCATAAGGCATAAGGCCAATTGAAATATTATTCTTGTTTCACATATTTTCCTCAAATGTCAGGATAGAGGTGTGTGTGTATTTTTTGAGTGCGTACGTGCGTGTATATGTGCGTCTGTGTGTGTTTGTGTGTAAGTTTATTGCTTTATTCTTTAGTCGCTTACAAGTATATAACAGTCAATTTGTTTCTACTGTTCGGCGTGTCGGATCCAAGTGACCTTTGGTCGCGCCCCTGTGGCTCAAAGTGTGAAGATACGGGCCCGAAACCATTGCAGGTTGCGACTCTGACACACGGGGAATTCCATGACGAGAGCAACATACCCCATTTTGATTTGCCAAACCGTTTCTTAGCAGCGCTTGTAACGCTTAAAAAAATTAACAAATTTATTCAATATTACATGTATATTAAAAGCCTTATTTTACATGTATTTTGTTTAGTACCGCAGCATTAATTGAATGCGGGACATATAGATTGCTAAGACACTGAAATAAAGAACACATATTTGTCATATAATGAGTTGCATGCGTCATTATGGTGTTGAATATTGCAAGGGACCATCCGATCCTCAGAGGAAATGTTGACTTAATTGTAACTCATCAACAATTAGATGCTTTTGGTGGTTTTAAGTATAAGGGTATAGAATCTCACTTCAACGCTATATGCCTGTACGTTAATAATATTCATGATTAGTAATACTTTTTACCATGTAGCTTTGATCGCAAGTTGATAAGTTTACAAATGGACATGTCGGGAATGTCTGTTGTTGGTTTCTCTTATGTCAACAAATTCATTTACGTCCGAAATGATGTTGCCCAATTATGTTTGTATTATGTTGTATACAAAACACTTGGGAGAGCAGGCATTGATTGCTGGCTTGTGATAAACAGAGCCCCTAACGAGAATGCCTGGTAGCTAGGAGTCCGCATGGCGTGGAAGGTACTTGGGGTAGTCATTGATGCTGGCAGGGTCATTACTGATATCTTGTCATAGCTGTATGGGTATGAGTTCGCTCCAGACTCCATTTGGACTTTGCAATGCCGACTCCCTCTCTTCTTATAAAGCAAGTAATCACCTTTTGGAAAACCGTCCAGTATTTGATTTGAAAATGTTTTTGCAGAAAAAAATCTAATGTATAAGTGACACACTTACGAGGCCTTCTCCAACAAAGATTTTTATTACATTGTAATATATGAATAATGATATTGCAGTATAAATGTACAGTGCATAGAAATTATATACAAGTAATGTGAGAGAGAGAGACAGAGACAGATTCTTTGTTTCCCCAACGCCGTGATATAACTGGAATACTGTTAAAAGCGGCGTAAAACCCAACTCACTCACTCACTCACTCACTTTATTTCCTCCAGAAGTTAATCCGAAGATTATACATAATTAATCAAACGTATTCACACAAACTCATATTACCTGTACATATATACAATACAAGACAGTAGCACCAGTGTCATGCCATTCACACCGTACAAAAGGTTAGATCAGATGACATAATCAAGGTAAGGCTTTAGTGTAAGTACATAAGCAGAAAATATCAGTATAACAGATTCCAATGTAACTATATCAATACATTGTGAGAAGTGAGTATCAGCACCAAAGAAAAATGACAACATATCTTCATCTTGTAATTCCAACTGGACATAGGTTTCAACATCAAGCAGATCAATAAAAGTTGAAAACAGTTCATTTCTTTCCTGCAGTAGAGCTTCACAATGTAATATGATGTGATTATCATAATCAACGGCATGCTTGTTACACACTAAACAGTCCCTGGAAGTTTTGTTTCGTGATGAAACTCTAACACAAAATTTTAAACTTGACCTCTGTTCTGGGTACAGATATGCTAGTTGCTATAATATATGGTGAGTATGTTTTGTGTGTATTAGCATGAAGCGTGAAAGACCTGTATTGACAGAAACTTTTCTGCGCCACATATTTTCTTCATATTCATGTGTGGTTTTATTAACCAGTTGCTTCCAGTTTCTCTTTGTAGGAAATACACAACAGCTTACATATGTACAAAGGTTGTTTCGTAGGTTATACTTGTTAAGAAATGATAATAAATCTCCACATACAGATTTAGGATTAGTTGGATTTGCAATGTATGCACAAAAAAGATGTTTAACAAAATTGTTACAGGTTAAGTTACATAAGCGGCCAAGCAGCTGAAGTTTACACTTGTCGATATAGCCGATCATTGTCCAAAGCCCAAGATTAGCAATAGTGGATTCTGATGGAGATCTTTTATCAAGTCTTTGTACGGTTCGTGCGAAATAGCGTTGAGTATCTTCAATGACATTGATGTTTTGACCCTTAATATCAAAGAGAAGTTCGCAGCCGTAAAAACTTGTTTTTAATATCATTCTTAACCAGATTTTTACACTGGTAGCTGGATGTAGCGCTGAGCTGTTGAGTCCCACAGATTTTAACGAATTAATACTTTGTCTTGCTGTTTGGCAACATTTTTCAATACTTGATTTACATGACAAGTTATGTGTTAGTAGTATGCCACCATACATGACAGAGTCAGAGGTTGTTATATTTATATCACCAAGTTTGCAGTTAATATCTAACCCCTTTTGTTTTGTCTTAGGGAAGACAACAACATTACTTTTTGAAGGGTTATACGTTAGTCGCCACTTTGAGGCATATGAATGTACTGTATCAAGTGCTTTTTGAAGCCCTCGTGGCGAGGTGCTCACAAGAGTTGTGTCGTCTGCAAACAAAACCGTTGGAATATCTAGACCAAATACACAAATACCACTATTTGCTTGTCTAAGGGCTGTTATAAGGTCATTAATGAAGACTAAGAAGAACCAAGCAGAGAGAACTCTTCCTTGTCCGACACCTTGCCTTACATGGTATATATCTGACTGTTCACCCTGATAAGTAACAAAAGCATGGCTATTTGTATAGCTATGGTGTAATAACTTCCATGCATTTCCTCTGATACCCATTTGGTGTAATTTGTAAAAAGGGCCGTCCTGCCATATTCTGTCGAAAGCCTTTTCATTGTCTAAGAAAGCAGCATATAAATAAGGGTAAAAACGGACATTATTGCCCCATGTTCTTTCCTAAAGCCGAACTGGAGCACGTCAGGGAAATCAGGATTTGTCTTTATCATTTTTAGTTCAAGGCACTTAGCAATACGTTTTTCAAACAGCTTGCAAATGCATGAAGTTAAGGTTATACCTCTATAGTTTCGGGGAACCGATTTGTCATTCTTACCCTTGTATATAGGAATGACAATTCCTAGTCTATAATTAAAAGGAATGTATTGTAGTCTTAACATAGCATTAAACAGTGCACACAGATATCTTATCAAGGATTCACCCCCGTGAATTATATGCTCGTTTGTAACTTTATCAGGCCCAGGGGACTTGTTTCTACTCAGTGTTTTTACAGTTTCGTTTATTTCTACAGTAGAAAATTGTCTTTCTAGCTCCTCATCATGTGCCCCTATCTCTTCGTGAATACGTTCTAGGGAAGAAGATATTTCTTTTCGAAAATTTTCATCAAAAGTGTCTTAGCAATATGGCTGAGCTAGATCAAAGTAATATTTTCCCCACAATCTACAAATGTCCGAGGGTGTTGTGACACTCTCTCCCTCAGGGTCGAGTTTTGTTATATCTGTAGTTTGTGACCTTTGCTTTCTTACAGTTTTGTAAAAGGAATGTATGTCGGGGGAGGAAGGGGCTGCGGTGGTATTAGAATACCAGAGCCCCAAGACGAATCAGTTTTTTTTATCATTATTATAAATAAACAGCATATAATCATTAGAGAAGACTGTCCTCTTTGCAATTTAGATTGGAGACGAATTACCTTTTTAATTGTGATTTCTGTAAAAAAACAAACTAGACTTGTACATCTGCAGCAGATTCATTAGACCAAACACCATCCCATTTTGTCAACTATTTAATTGTCATCAGTGTTAAATATGCTTTCCATGTTCATTGAGATAATCAATAATGTATTCTGTTCACAAAACACAACATTTTCACAAATTCCGCTTGTCACTGTAAACCTCTACTTTGTTACCGCTTGGCGATTTATGAGCGATTAGGGGCGGTCGGGTAGCCTAGTGGTTAAAGCGTTCGCTCATCACACCGAAGACTCGGGTCCGATTCCCGACATGGGTACAATGTGTGAAACCAATTTCTTGTGTCCCCCGCCGTGATGTTGCTGGAATATTGCTAAAAGCGGCGTAAAACCATACCCACTCACTATGAGCGAAAAGAGATGTTAAGATAAATACTGGGACACGGATTTTATCTGTTTAAGACTCACTCTCTCTCTCTCTCTCTCTCTCTCCCTCTCTCTCTCTCTCTCTCTCTCTCTCTCTCTCTCTCTCTCTCTCTCTCTCTCTCTCACACACACACACACACACACACACACACACATAGACCTGTGTTTATGAAATAGTGATGGTACCAGGCATTCGCAAAGAGGTGAGCGTATCGTACCCCACCGTTGACACCCGTCACAAGCACATGCAAATTTCCGCGATTACCTGGTTTCATCACAGACTTTCAGTGATCCATTCATACAATTCATACCTGTTGTGCCTTTCCCGCCCACTGGAATCTGTTTCGACAGATAAACAAGACTGATCTAACGGGATTGGGTGGTCAGGCTCGGTGACTTGGTTGATGCATGTCATCGTATCCCAATTGCGTGGATCGATGATCATGATGTCAATCACTGGATTGTCTGGTCCAGACGCTATTATTTACAGACCGTCGTTATATAGCTGGAATATTGCTGATTGCGGCGTTAAACAACAAATAACCTAACCTAACCTGATTAATCTCTGGCGTTCACGTTAGCCTGTTATACTGAACTATTGTATGTTGCCTGTGCATTGTATGTAGGACGCGAACGTCCATGATAAACAGCTTTGTGTTGACTGTTGTACCAATGTCCCTGCAGGTGTTGTGAAGCTGCCTGGATATGGTGACATCACTGACGACGCCATACACCTGGCTGCGATGACATTTTCTGATCAAGCAAATGTCAGTTTGTCCGTATCTATAGCAACGCTCAATCCAGTATCATTTTCATCTATCGCGGAACCAGGTACGTTGTAGGCTCACGTTGTTCGTATTGGTTAAAACATGCACATCGCACTTCCGGGTAGCACAGGGCTTTAGATTTTCCAATAATTAACCTATATAGCCATCTGTGGAGCAACAATGTGATTGGCCAGTCAAAATAGCCCGAAGTGATAGATATTATTCAGCTCAACTTCCAGGAAAATATATATATATTTTTTTTTATAATTATGCACAATGCATTCGCCCATCATGTTCAGATCTAAATACATCGACCAAAAATGTGACAATAACATTTTGTCAATATATCTATAAATATTGATATACACAATATACAATCCGACATTGTGACACATCGTGTGGAAAACATCAAGATGTAACTAGAAGTAAATGTCACGTTACCAACCGTATACAAATTACCAAAACGTACAAGTTGATGACAAATTCAACATGATTGTAGTTGTCTACTCCTTTGGGAATCAAGCCGTTGCAATGTGTGACCTGGCTGATCTCCACTTTAATTATACTTTCATGGATAACAACTTCTTTAAAGTACCAAAAGTACTGCGTATTCGTCGTTACAATAACAATAAAGAAGTTCCGTCCAAAAAGGTGGTTCGTCTTCATGTTCTTCAAACTTCTAAATGCCTCTCAAATACACTATTTCTATATTTGGTCTTTCTACAGAAAATGGCAAAATGATGTTCCTGACTAAAGCATGTTAATCTCGTCTTGTTTTTATGAGAATATTGTTTTCACTTCTGTGTTTCAATAGGATATATCAAAATATACAAACACTATTTTATTGTGTTCAAGTGTATATAAGACCAGATATGACATTTGAAATTTGTGTGCATGTCCCTGAGTGCAATTTGAAATTATAACTCGAATTGTTTGTTTTTTTATCAAAATATAATACTTCCAAGAGTTACCTTTTTTAGGACAAGAAGATCTTTTCATGAAGTTTTTTACATTTATATATATTTATCCTGTCACTACAAAACTTACTTTTGGGGGCTTACAGTCCAAGGAAGGTTATTATTTGAACAGGGTCACATGACCAGAATGTTCTGGCGGAGGGAATCATGAATGGCGCGAAGGAAACATATGCCATACATGAAGGGTTTTGTCACAGTTCGACTCAAACTACAATTGAAAATGAGAGGGATTTTATTAATCATGCATACATAATGATACAATTTTGGGTTACCTGAAACCAGTGATAATGTTCAGGCTACATGCTAAATGTACATTGACATTTATTTGGGGCATTTTCTTCTGAACTGTCATTACCAGAACAGTCATTACAACAGTACTTACAGCATGATTGTGTGTTTTAAAATGGAATCTAACACACTTTGTTGGTATTGGGTATATAATCAAGTGCTATATCAGTAAACCTAAAATAACCCGACTGCAACTTACAGTAGAAATAATTCTGAGATTAATCCTAACTTTTTCAGATTTATGGTATAAGTCAGATATGTTGTGGTAATAACATTTGAGGTGATTATGTTTTCTGTCTTTCACACTTTTGTTATGAATTAATATCGTGCAAACTTCGCAGCAAAGTATATTTTTATAAACATTAATTAACATAGTGTACAATCGTTAAAATAAACAAATACATTTATTACTCAATTTGTGAGGAAATCATGTGTCAATATTGCCACATTTGGTAGAATCACCCATATGTCATTGCACCCGATTGCGTAAATCGTTGCTCTCTCATCACCGCCCATACACCCGCCTTACACTAAGGGGACCTTTAGTCGCGTCGACACAAGAGACATATTGCCTTTGTCGCTTCATTTACCTCTATTCATACCCGATTGCCATCTAAAAGAAACTGTTTACTCCACATATTTGAAATAAGAATCGAAACCCCTTTTGTCAGTTAATGCAAATCCCTGATCGAAATGGAAGAATAAGCAAATATTTGTCATTACTGACGATATAATATGAAAACATGCAATTCTAACAGCTGTTTCAATATTGCACTCACTGTTCCATTATGTAATTTTAGCGCCATGCTTTAAGCGTACTACGGACGTGCTCTGACATTGCTTGGTAATTTTGTCGATAGTGTTATGACAGGTCATTCATAACAGGTTTAACAATATTGACATCAAGCGGTTTCCTCCGATCGACCTTTGCTATGACTAAACACAGGGTCATTCGGTTAAAATGACAAAGTGTGATGTTGCCATGATAACTTCTTGTTTGGTTAATCTTCATCTGACATGATATGGTATTAATGTTTTGAGTATCATACACACATTGAAAGCCTTGCACATTATTGATAATTATGATGAAGCGTGCTACTTAGTGACGGGTTTTGGAGTATGCCTGTTGCAAACATTGTTTTTAATCTTGAATATATTTTATTATTTTCAGACTGTTCAATATTCAACATGACCTGCACTGGTCTTATCACATTTGCTGACTGCTCACATGCCATTTTCATAGACTTTTGGGCTGAAGAACACGTGATACCACACGTGATGTTCACCAACAGAGCATGTGACTTTGTCAGCTCGCATGGAGTCAAGATGATCCCACACTTTACCACGCAGAATAAGTTGATATCGGACATTGTTGTCCAAGAAGAATGGTCTGACGTTGTTATAATGTACGATTCTCTTCTAGGTATGTATTTCCCCTCCCATTGTAACGTGTAATATAATACATACAGACATCATTAACTAACGTTGTTGGCTCGATATATCGTTTAAGACGATGTGGTTTTATGGTCTTGGCAGAATCCTCGTCAGCACCGATATGTTGTTGTTTATTTATTTTTATTTTTACGCCGCATTCAGCAATATTCCAGGTTGGGGACACTCCGCTTGTCACGAACAACGGATAACATATTCAGTGGTCCTCTGCTTTCAAGTTGACAGGGCGGGGGGAGCGGGGTGGCCTAGTTGTTAAAGCGTTCGCCCGTCACACCGAAGACCCGGATTCGATTACCACTATCATCACTGATTTGTAGTGATCAATTCATATAATTTGCATTTTACGCATAGTGGACGTTTTAGATTCACTAAATGTTACATGTCGGGTGTATTTTTCTAGTCAACACATGGCAATGTTACCACGTGCACCCACGCGAACTGTGCTCGAATGTCACGTCTACATCTGTGAATTAATGACATGATGTCAATTATTATCATTTACTTAACAAAGATACACATTGTCCAACGTGTGATGAAATCAATATTGTACTCAGGGAGAAAAAGATAATATCCTGCTTGCTCAAAATCAATGTTTCCAGTATTCTTACGAAAATCGTATTGGAACCTTTTTTGTATCAATGCAACACACCTGTATTGGTAGCCAACCAACGCTTATTCCACGCCCTTCGGAATCCAAAATAAGAGGTGAGGTGAAATAGGGTTTAACGTCGCGTCCAAGATTATTGCACTTATATAGCGACGTGCATGTACGTGTGTGTGTGTGTGTGTGTGGCTGCTTGTACTAGTCCGGACTGATGCCGATTTATAGTGCTAGCCCACTGAGATACCATGCCGCAGTTTAACATGAATACCCCACTCAGACACAGTATACTGACTCCGAGCCGACCAGTCCTTGTTTTAGTCCCTTAATGCCGAGCGTCAGACAGGGTAACAGCAAGTACCATCTTTTAACGTCTTTTGGTATGACGAGGTCGGGGATCGAACCCCGGACCTTCCGCTCTCCAGGCGGACGCTCTACCACCAGACCACGGAGGCGGTCTCCAAAATAAGACGTTTGTTTGTTACATGTACATTGCTGGCGTAAGAGTAACGGGTATTTCAAACCACGCAACCTTGCGCGAAGTGTCGCTAAACAAACATTTTATATTTCTTCCGGTCAAAAGTCCTAACCAAGGTATTACTCAGATGATATTACACGACATGTTCACAAAATTCGAAGTATTAGTGAGTGGGTGAGTGAATTAAGTTTATCGCCGCCTCGAAAAGTATTCCAGTTATATCACGTCCTGTCAGCTTGACGTGGGAGGAAAGCTCAAAGTGATGTAGGTCTTAAACGTTTACCACTTTGGTGAAATCCACGTTCACGGGTATGATGCTGACATACAAAGAAACATAATCGGGGCAAACCGGGATTCGAACCCACGATCATAGGTTTCTGGTGTGCTCAGGGGCGCACGGCGAATTGTGGCGCCTTAGACGACTGGAACATCTATGCCCCTACGGTCAGTGAGCATTAGACGTATCTCACTCTCAGTGAGTGAGTGAGTGAGTTGGGTTTTAACGCCGCTTTTAACAGTATTCCAGTTATATCACGGCGTGTCAGCTTGATGTGGGAGGAAAGCCCGAAGTGATGCAGGTCTCAGACGTTTACCACTTCGGTGAAACCCACGAGCACGGGTATGGTGCCGACAAACCTAGAAACATAATTGGGTCGAACCGGGATTCGAACCCACAATCATAGGTGTCTGGCGTGCCCAAGAGACGCAACTCTGCACAGCGAATCGCGGCGCCTTAGACGACTGGACCACCCGTGCCCCCTCGCTCTCAGTAGTAGCATGCGTCCCTTATTCGTGTGTCAGGATCCGCAGATCATGGCTTCAAATTCCAGATTCTAATCGATACTGAGGCCTGTTAGATCTGCGTCACCCGTGCTTCTGAGTTGTTCATGTATACGTCTTGACACGCGTGAATTCTGGCGTCCCCAGTAAGCTGGAACTACGTGATATAGCTGACATAATGTTTAAGGGGGCACGGGTGGCCCAGGCGTCTAAGGTGGTTCATGTACACGTCTTGACATGCGTGAATTCTGGCGTCCCCAGTAAGCTGGAACTACGTGATATAGCTGTGCAGAGTTGCGTCCCTTGGGCATGACAGAAACCTATGATTGTGTGTTCGAATCGCGGTTCGCCCCGATTATGTTTCTAGGTTTGTCAGCACCATACCCGTGCTAGCGGGTTTCACCGAAGTGGTAAACGTCTGAGACCTGCATCACTTCGGGCTTTCCTCCCACATTAAGCTGACAGGCCGCGATGTAACTGGAATACTGTTAAAAGCCGCGTTAAACCCAACTCACTCACTCACTCACTCACTCATAATGATTAAAGCAACGTTAAACCAAACTCACTGTAACAAATAAGGGGCGATGAGGTGGCCTATTGGTAAAACGTTCGCTCGTCACACTGACGGTGTTCTCTACAAAGTTACAATGACGCCCATTTTTGACACACGCACCTCTTTTATATAGCCGGAATAAGGCTCAAAGCAGCTTAGAATCCAACCAACTCAGTCACTATCAAACACTCATAATCCATATATGATCTCAAATACCCAAACTCCAAATTCAATTTTGTGGTCACGAAATGACAAGTTTGTTTTGTTTGATTGTTGTAAATACAATGTATTATACAGACATGACAATTTTGGTCTCCAAATTCGCGACAGGTAAAGAGTATTGTCATGGCTCGTAGCTGCAGTATGTACCTCCCGAAATCACGTGAGATGCATCGTATTACAAATATACTCTTCAAAATCAGAAAAGCAATGCGGATATTTTTGGCAATAAAAGCAAAATAAGCGGACCAAAAGGTGCAAAATGAAGAGGTTTAATGTGTTATAGTGTTAGTTACACATTTCCCGGATCAAAATGATCACAATAAGAACATGCAGAGCATTAGTCGGGAAACACGTAGGATTTGGAAAAACGCATCCAGTGCATCAACAAAACGGCCATGGAGCTGCACGTACTGAACGTGCAGCAGCACTATGAACGATTTTTTGATTGCCTGGCTTCTACGTTAATTGAACAGTGACAGTTTAACAACATGCCAAGATGAACAGAAGTGCAAAGAAACAACGTCATAAGCCGCTTGCAAGCAGGGGATCCCCAACAACTGTAGTCGGGGTTTTCAACGTAGCGCCGAACACCATCACAAGGCTATGGGATCGGTTTCAACAGCATGGGTCAACACATGATCGGCCAAGGTCAGGACGACCAAGAGTAACCAACCCCGCCCAAGATCGCTACATCCGACTGCGCCACCTACGTGAAAGGACGACCACAGCCACACCAACCGATTTCTCCTTTGTCTACACAACAACAACGTTGATGTTCTTCCCTGGCCCTCCAGATCCCCGCATTTGAACCCGAAAGAGCACCTGTGAGATGAATTGGATAGACGGCTACGCCGACGTCAACCACAACCCCAGGCATTGCATCAGTTGGCTTTTGCGTTGCAGACCGAGTGGGCTACCATTCTCCAGGATGTGATTCGCATACTCGTCTCTTCCATGGGCAGGAAATGTCAGGCTGCTATCGATTCAAACGTGGGACATACGCGTTATTGATGGTAGCTGACCTTCACCTTGGACTTTTCCTATTTACCGATAACTGAGATAACTACAATCACCAAGTGTTCTCTCCTCAACATTTTGGCTAAATACCTTGTACGGTTCCTCGTATAAATGTATGTTCCTACCTCACACAAATCTGGCATTGCGTTTCTTTTTTTTGAAGAGTATATACACGAATTATCCATTTCATACCCGTGCGAATGGCATCACAATTTCCTCTTCCAATATGAATGACATTGTGTTGTGAAATAAAAAACACAAAACACTTTCCATAATCATACGAATTTTCCATTAAACGATTTCGACTGAGTCACAAATATGTGTTTATGAATCACCAAGCCTTCGCGAAAATGTAAGCGTCTCTTGCTCAATCGGTGGCACACATACATACATGCAAAGGTAAGTTCATTTTTCAGATGAGAAAAACACGTGAACAAATAAGGAATTGCATCGGACATCATTTTTGTCACTGTGTCAAATTTGGAATTTCTTCTTCTTTTCTTCTACCATAAAACATTTTGTAAGCTTTAGAGTACGAGTACTACGCCATCTTTGACATATCTAAAGAAAGAGCGTGCTCGATTTATACAAGGGAGTCCGTATGTACAGCCTGGCTGTACTTAAACAATTGTGAAATATCGGTATCAAAGACTGGAGCAGCAGGAATTTCTCGACATAAAAAGAAAGTTGACAATTGGAACGTTAAAGTCATCCCTCTCTTCGATAGCTTTTTGTCACAATAATAATCTTTACGCATAGCTAGCCACTCCAACAATAGCATGTACATGAATGATGTTAGACTCTGTTCACGTATGCACAATGTAACGACTGTACAACGAATTAGAGAAGTTCTTGTTTATGACGAATCTGTGGTTCTATGGTGTTTCAGAAAACAACCAACTGGCTGACCTTTTGAACAGACTGTCGGACAGTTTTGTAGGAACAACAGTGATTGACCTGTCTGAAGCAAGGTCAATCAGCTCAACAGTGACCGAGAGCATAAGGGGCGTCTCAACTGTCCAATATAAGAATATAGTTATTGTAGCTACGGACGCAACAGTGAACGAATTAATAAAACAGGTAAGAAACAAAAATAAAACCTGTTCTCTGGCCTACCGTATCACGCAGACTAGGTAATAAAGTACAGGGTCGGTGATAACCAGACAGTTGCCACAAAGACGTTGTTCATCATTGGTTGGAATAAAGGGACCAATTTATCTATGGCAATTTTGTAATCCAGTGGGCCGTACTCGCTATTGCAAAATTTGGGAATAAGGACACGTAATCCAAACTGATAATAAATTTGTGAAACATTCATTGACGTCATCCTGTACGTTTCTAATAACGTACAGTCAACTGTCAATTAAACCCATTATTGACTAGTTGGATACTCCACACTCGAAGGCCCCAAAGGGATACACGTTATGGTGTTGAACAGTTTAATTTTCTGGACAATACTTGGTTGATGATATACAATATATTTATTACAACGTATATTGCCGATCATATATAGTTTAATTATTTCGAGCAAAGCAATAAAAATAGGCGACAGAAGGAAGAATTCGTTTCAAAAAAGCTACCTGGAACTACAGAAATGGCACATATTCCCTTGCTAGTTGGAGTGGGTGACCTCCACTCTGGCGTTTACAATATGCCTTAATTTGTGTTATCACACCACACATCATTGAAGATTTTAAGTGCTATATTAATAAACTTCACTATTTCGATGTACAGGTAGCAATTAGAGGTAGAGTAATTGATACGAAAATTGAAAATATTATCAATATTCATTGAGTTTCGGTGTTGTTCTGGAATATTTCCAATGACCATCCGATAGTGGAATCCACTGCATTTTCGACATTGCTTCTTACATTTGCAGGCCTACCAACATAAGATACTCGGACAGAAGTACTTCTGGATAGTTGTATCGGACAGCCTGACATTCCCAACCTTGACCTCTATGTTAAGGGAACGCAGTAACGTTGTCATCATAAGGACAGATGACGCCCCAGGCTCATGGGATGAGTGTGACAAGCATGTACCGTTATCGTGCCCTTTGTACAACCAATCCCAGGTACATAAAGCGACAAACCCTTTCCATATCCAATAGAAATCTCTGCACAAAGCAGAGTCGATTGTACTATTCCGACTATATCGGATGTGTTTATGAATCACTGTCAAATATTGATGATACCAGGTGTTCGCGAAAAGGTGAGCGTATCCTGACCCACCGGTGGCACCCGTCACAAATACATGCAAAGGCAAGTCAATTGTGCACCCGACAAAACATGGGAACAAAATGGTACAAGTCAAACTGCATCAGACATAATTTTTGTCACTGATGCGTCAATTGTGGACATGTCCTCCACATGTTTACCATAAAACTTTTTAAAAGCTTTACTGAGGCCTTGAAAACAACAAATATGTCCGACCATGTATGTCCAACAAAAGTAGGCATAGATGTAAACAAAACAGACAGTGTTTTTCGATATTATGCGTTGACGTTTGGTTCGACAATTCCTCGTTCATATGTGATATCCTATTTAAAGGGACAATATTTTGTTACGAAAAATGAATAAGTTTCAACTCTTTTAGACATTCATTGTTATGAAAATACAAACCAAATAATGAAATTATACTGGAAACGTATATGACTGCTAAGTGGATATTCAAACAAACTTTTGAAACAAGACCTGGCAGACAAGAAGGGATATGAATGTGAATGAGCGAATGTTATTGTCGTGCTAGCATGGTGCATGCTTGTTTGGCAACAGCTGCTTATATCGTATTGTAATTAAGATTTATATTATGCAAAAACACCTGAATATTTCTGATTTGTACATAAATGAATATGGATATACATGACAGTTCAAGAAACTTAGCAGTTTTTTGTTGATTTCTGTTACAAGATTTCATTCAGAAGAAGAATTTGACTTTTATGCAATCCAAATAAGATGCAGTTTTGTTGTTGTTTTGTCTTGTTACAACATTTCGGTCAGAAGAAGAATTGGTCTTTATGCTAATGCCGACCAAATAATATGCAGTTGTGTTGTTTTGTCTTGTTAAAACTTTTTATTCAGAAGAAGTATTGGTCTTTATGCTAATGCCGACCAAATAAGATGCAGTTTTGTTGTTTTGTCTTGTTAAAACTTTCATTCATAAGAAGTATTGGTCTTTGTACTAATAGGTTGATTTCCATTCCCTTACATGTTTATTGGTACATGTTTACTTTGCAGTAGCATACTATTCATTACCAATTACCTATGTTTGTATATTTACTGATTTCACCCGTGAGATCGGGGGGAATTTCACTTTGAAATAGCTTTGCACCAGGCATATGAAACACTCCGGGGTTGTGGGATAGTCAAGTCGTTAAAGCGTAAAGCTCGTTCATGGCGAATACAGCGGAATAATTTGTGAAGATTATTGGTGCCGTGATATAGCTTCAGTATTGCTAAAACCAACGTACAACCCAATCCACTCACTCACCGTCAAACACTCCATCTTGATACCTAACTGTAAGAACGACGTATCGATGACATGATCTCAAACACCGAACATCAATTTTGTTGTCACGAAATGACATTGATCCCCGCGCTAGGCAATCACACACGAAATGTTTGCATTAGCTACTTTTATAGTGCTTTCCTGTTTTCGGTTCAGTGACATTTCGTAAATTGATAGCTTCTGTACCTTTGACATTTGATGCATGTCTCTGACAATATACTTTGATTGAAAGGTGTGATATCTCACTCGATGGATTGAAATAGAAACTTACTTTTCATCTTTTTGATATCAAAGTAGCTGTTAACTTGTTACAGACTCCCCTTTTATGTAGTACAATGAGGTTATCCTTGAAAAGTGATACACAGGAAGTATATGTATGTTATTAAAGAGAAATGATCAACATTGAAACTGAAAATGTGTAATTTTGATGTTGCTGATTTATGGTTTACATGTGAATATATGTAATTGAATGTGATTATGAGAAATGGGTTATTAAATAGTTCATTAAGGGACATCGTATCTTGAGGGCCATGTTGTGAAAATATGACACTAGAAGTGTAAGAAACTGGAAAAAATGTGATTTTGTTTCCTGAGACTTTATCATACAGGATTTCAGAGACTTTATCATAGAGGATTTCAGAGACTTTATCATACAGGATTTCAGAGACTTTATCATACAAGATTTCAGAGTCTTTATCATACAGATTTTCACATCACACGGTGTTTAATTGTTCTCTGATCGTCCGTTAAATTCAAGTAAGGAATCTTTCACAATAATTTAACGCAATAGTCTTGTATCATAATAAATGTAGACCTTGGATGCTTTAACCTTAATTTGAACTTGTCATTGTACTCGATCAGTATTGAATAGAGTTGTTTGAACAAACTATCTATTAGCAGCGCAGAGGCCTGGTTGTATCCTTCCAAACATACTCAGGGATATGTTTATACACTCGTGACCACCTGTGTAGCCATAGTTACCATGACATCATTGTCACAAAAACTTGGACTCTCCTTGAGACTGCATCATGGATTCACATGTTAAGATACTTAAAATTAATATACCTTCAAGAGCATCAGTTCGTTTCATAGTCATTATGAGCAGCAAGTATATCATTATCCTCCCGCCACGAATTGGGTGATATCCGTCCGTCCTTCCGTTCATTCCGCCAGGTGTCCGTCAGTCCGTCATGTTTCGTTTCCGGAGCATTGCTCGGAAAAATATTTATACTGTATTATCAAACTTTGCATTTTTGTGCTGAACTGGTGCCTTTGATGTTTTGGTTTCCTTAGCAACAGACCGGGCTTCGACTAAAAAGATCGTAGCATTCGTTTCCGGAGCATAACGTGGAAGCCGTTTTATATTTTATTTGGAACCTTTGAATATGTATCGAACACTTGCTGAACCCGTGCTTTTTGCTGTTCCGTGGCAATGTAGTTTACTTTCATTACCAGAGCGTAACTTAAAACCCCCCAGATGGGTTGTAGTGTTAATTTCTGGATCCTATATCTATAAGTATATTAGCCTTGAAACTACATACCCATATTAACAGAGAACTTAAATTGTCATGCTTTTTTTGAATTTCTACAAAAAGGTCTACGCAGGGTTGTCTGAGAACAGTTACCATAAATACCTAATTGAGATGTATAACACTTGCGAAAGGAACTTGTACCTCGGGTATAGGGTGAATGGTGGCAAAACACAAACCAGCCTACTTTTCTTGTAGTGGGCTCAATAACTATTTTAGTGCTTGCAATTAGGCCCTTGACAAAAAGTTCCACTCAACTTGTCAAGACAGAGTTGAAACATTTATGCCATAATGTTTTTTTCTTGAGTTACCCTCCCTTTCTCCATGTATATTCACTGCTATATGGACAGAGTGCTAATGTGCCCCATGACTTGGGATAATGACAACGTTGTTTTCTTGTTATATATGAAAATATGAGTAATGTTTGTAATATCATTAGACGTGAAAATATGAACTCGCGTTATATTCTAGATGCTATGTTTATGACATATGTTGTTCTTGAAAGAGAGCACTATCTCGTAGCATGTTTACGTAGATGCCAATTCTGGACATTAGGCGGTAGGATATTAGGCAAGTTGTTAAAGCTTCGGTTCGTCACACCAACGCGGGTTCGGTTCCCCCTGAAGGGACAATTTATGAAACCCAGTTTTTGTGTACCCCGCAGGAAAAATGCTCCAATCGGCGTAAAATCCTCACTCACTGTGGGACGTTTGCCAAGCTTCGTACGGGTACTGTTGGCGTGTATAGGTTTAAAAGGTAGCATTTAATATACGTTCTTGTCATGCAAAGTCATTGAATCAAGTGCTGAAACAATGTTTATTGTTTTTATTGTGTGTTTAGGTATATCTGATGGAAATACACGACGCATTCCATATTATTGTGCATTCCACGCAACAGATCTCACACCCAGATCTGCTTCTCAACCTGGGTCCAGGGTGCTCCGATGGAATTGTATCAGAGAAAGATCCCCAGCTTGTATCAGGGAAAAGGGAATTGGTAAATATTATCAGAAAGGTGTGTACATTTTAGACATTTGTCATGGACCTCTACATTTCTATATGTTTAAATATATTCGTTTGGGAAGAATTAATTCATTAAATCCTGTTTACACTTCCCTTCTATTACAGCTACACCATGTAGTCAAATATGTTATAATCGTATCAAGATAACAAGTAGTTGAACTTACTTAATAAAAGTAATGATAATCATAACACTACAACACATGGTCAGTTGATGCCAAGCTTTGGCACAGTATCTTAAGCGACATGATGGAATGGCTCGATCCTTTTATTCTTCGACCTGCTTGTGGTTTTGACGCAGATGCCCATCCATTGTACGACCCAGAATATGTAGAGGGCGTCATAGAAAATGAAAAACACAAAATTCTTTGGAATAGGCCTGTATTCAGGCTCAGACCTATCCAGGCACAGATGTGATTGACAAGATTCACGAAAGACATGGCAAATATGTAGACCTCGCTTGCGATATGTCACGCTTCCATCCCACGTACCAAGTTGTCCGACTCCCCATTGTTCTCGGTGCCTTAGTTTTGGTACCTCCCAGTTGTTACCACGACGTCACATTCAAATGACAATACTAAACTCCCTACCACTGAAGCTGGTTAGCTGTATTTTTTACACCCAAGTCACTAGTTACTGAAGATTGTCCTGTAAACCTGACGGGTCATTTTCTTTAGATATAAATCCACTGATGCTTTAGAGGAGGGGGATGTCGCATTTTTGGCTAGGGGCCAGTGGTCGCATTCTTTTGGAGACGCATTAAATTCACGATTTACAGTATTACTCTTTAAAAACTTATAAAGTTGGGTGATGAATTATGGATGATTAATACAAACTGACCCTCGTAAAATTTATCAACACGAGGCTATAAAAGTGTCGGAGTGTTTACCTTTTATTGACTCGTGTTGATACAATTGATATCAGATTCTCTATGTATGCTTGAAGTTCTTTGCTATTTCTCCGAAGTACTTGGAAAAAATAAAGTAGAACACAATGCAGTGTTTTGCATTACACATTTAAACATATTTATTAACACATATGGTCAATGGGATTGGGTAAAAGATATCCTGCTCAGATGTCCCTTTCCCTAATTTAGATGGACATTATAACGTGTTATACTTTGTTTCAGACGTCTTTTGTCGGAAAAACCAGACATTACAAATTTGACGACGCCGGATATGTGACAGCGAGGAGCTACAATATCGTCAGCACATCTGACAAACGTCCAAAATGGTTCCATAATGTCGGCACTTGGTCAGAGGAAGGTCGTCTAGAAGTATTTGATGAAGAGATATTCGAAAATACATTCAGAAACTTTGGAAATACAACATTATTAATCGGATCTCAAGAGGTAGATATATGATTGTATGTTGTATTACGACCCTAACAGAAGTATGTGCTCTAGCGATGAGAATATTCATTTTGCATCACCAAAATTGATTTGTATCATTTTGAAGAGATAATATATATTAATAAATTGTGCGGTTTGTTTATACGAAAGCCTAATGTTGCAGAATGAAATATCAAATAGCGAGAAATATTCTCGAAAATTTCAAATAAAAACAATAGAATTTGCTACCAAAATGGCAACATTAGGCTTCTGTATGTTTAGACATGATTCATTAAGTGATAACTCCTTTTTCCACATGTGGTCGAATTTAAATGTATCTATAACACAACGGACTAAAAAAACGTCGGACGTAACATTCTCACACTATTGCAATACGTCATTGCATACGCGTGTGGTGTTCTTAATTTCTCGTGTATAAAATCGTGCTTGTCCGGATATCTCGAAGTAACAAACGAAAACGGCCCCACTAGATTCGAGATAACTAGTTTCAACTGTACTAAAGCTGTGTTATAAGTTTAGTCATATATTTCCACAGGCCCTCCCATTTGTTGTGAAGAATATCATTGATAATAGGACCGTTTTCACTGGCTTCTGCATCGACATACTTGATGAACTGGCGCTCAGATTTAATTTCAAGTAAGCCTTCACATCACATCACCTTTGCACCATTTCTTATGCCCCGTAAATGTACATGTACATACGTTGAGCCACAGGCGATGTCATCTATAAGCACTTACTATTAATATAATGCTTCAAAATGGGGCGATTTAAAACTACCACTAGATCCTTAGGCTATACCCCCTGATCTAGAAAATATCCAGATCATATCAAGCATCTAGTTATTAGCGACATATTGTTTTATAAATTGATGCTCCCCATCTGTTGTACGGGATGTATACAAAGTAAAAGATAAAGATATATTTTTGATGCCCTGGTGAGATTATGGCTATCATAATACCATCTCTTCAATGCAGTTTTGTACGGGGGGAGGCATTTTGGGAGTCAAAAAATTATTTCAAATATTTTCGGAGGTACAACTTTTTTTAAGAAGGCACTTTGTATTGTAACGCTATTAGGTCTTTCTAAAGCAGACTGTATCTTGCTCCCGTGCGAGTTTCAGTGACAGGTGTGCTTGCTGAACCATTCTATCCTGTGGGATCATGACCGGTGCGATGTTTTCTGTACAATAAAGCATAATTAGTCCCTAGACACCTAGTAGTCACAGATTGATTGCATGGTAACACAGTATGTAGCCATCTGGATTTCAATAAAACTTTGATGATGAAATGAGCTTCACAACATGTGATTTATATCATATATTACTCACTTTTACGGCAGTTTCAAAATGAAACCATACAACATTTTCTACAGTCGCCTGGAACATAAATTTTTGCACTAATTTGAAACTTGATTACCGAAAATATTTACGTAATCGTATGGGAATGGACGATTTCACACATTAAGCTATTTGACGATGGTTGTTTTCAGTTACACAATCGTTGAACCCTCAGACAGGATATGGGGTGCACCAATAAATGACAAAGGCGATTGGAATGGCATCGTTGGAATGATCGTAAGAAAGGTTAGTTTTGGAAATCGTAAAGCTAAACTTTGCATAAAAATTGAATATAATGAATATCAGCGATACCTGTCCATGTTCATAAAAGAAGGATGTGAAACATCTGATAAAGCGATGTTATCCCGTGATAGCTTTTATGCTTTTGATCTAGTCAGCCTGTTGTATTACATTATTACATATAATCATAACATTATGCTTCATTATGTTGTTCTTTCTTTCAAGTTGAAACACATCTGTGTCACTCTAAGCGTTGGGGGCACGGGTGGCCCATTCGTCTAAGGCGCCGCGATTCGCTGTGCAGAGTTGCGTCCCTTGGGCACGCCAGAAACCTATGGTTGTGGGTTCGAATCCCGGTTCGCCCCGATTATGTTTCTAGGTTTGTCAGCACCATACCCGTGCTCGTGGGTTTCACCGAAGTGGTAAACGTCTGAGACCTGCATCACTTCGGGCTTTCCTCCCACATTAAGCTGACACGCCGCGATATAACTGGAATACTGTTTAAAGCGGCGTTAAACCCAACTCACTCACTCACTCTAATGTTTGTTCGAATGGACAATTTGGCCATTAGTGGTTGACGTATATGTTATCTTGAATCCACAACATTTCACTTAATGTACACATAGAATTGACGGAACTATTTTGTCACTCAAGTGAATTAATTTAAATTTTGTCGGAAAACATATTCCAAGCGGGTCTCGAACCCGCCTCGTGTGTTCTGCGGACGTGTAATAGTCAATCTTTGCTACGGCTATATTTGACACAACAGTGTAAAATTAACAGTTTGATAGTTTGAAATATTTGTAAACATATAAACATATACAGCCTTGTTCGTGGCTCTGCATTTCTCGTAATCCCCGACAGCATGTTTTCAAATATTTTCATTTGATATATTTGCGATAACATACCCGCATAAGTATTTATTGTTCCTTAATAATACCTAGATAAAGTAGTTAACATCATAAAATCGCTAGTCCATCACATAATTTATATAAATTTTTCTATCTATATTTCAGGAGCTGGATTTCGGTGCAGGTCCGTTTACCATTACATCAATACGGGAATCGGTCATAGACTTTACTAAACCTTTCATGGAAGATGGCGCTGGGATTATTACACGTAGACCAGATGGAGAATCCCAGAAGATGTTCAAGATGTTCACACCGTTTGCTCCCATTGTGTGGGGTTGCATTGTCATCGCGATTATTGTAGTGAGCGTCTTACTCTACCTTGTCAACAGATACAGCCCTTTTGCTGCTCATAAGGTGTTACCAGAGTCAGGACACGCAGGTTCCCACGCTGAAATGATGAGCTTGAAGACGACATTGTGGCTCATCTACGGTTCCTATATGGAACAAGGTATTGATGCAGTTATTGGAATTAACCGATCACTGACTTGTTCATTTCATAGCAAATTTGTACATTTATTTCATTTAACATGTAACCTCTGATTGGCGTATGATTCTCGTAAGATGCCAATAAATGGTTCCTATATTGAACAAGGTATTGATGCAGTTATCGGAATTAACCGATCACTGACTTGTTCATCTCATAGCAAATTTGTACATTTATTTCATTTAACATTTAACCTCTGTTTGGCGTATGATTCTCGTAAGATACCAATAAATGGTTCCTATATTGAACAAGGTATTGATGCAGTTATCGGAATTAACCGATCACTGACTTGTTCATCTCATAACAAATTTGTACATTTATTTCATTTAACATTTAACCTCTGCTTGGCGTATGATTATCGTAAGATGCCAATAAATGGTTCCTATATTGAACAAGGTATTGATGCAGTTATCGGAATTAACCGATCACTGACTTGTTCATCTCATAGCAAATTTGTACATTTATTTCATTTAACATTTAACCTCTGCTTGGCGTATGATTCTCGTAAGATGCCAATAAATGGTTCCTATATTGAACAAGGTATTGATGCAGTTATTGGAATTAACCGATCACTGACTTGTTCATTTCATAGCAAATTTGGACATTTATTTCATTTAACACGTACACATCTGCTTGGCGTATGATTCTCGTCAGATGTCACTAAGTTGATCGGGTGGTCAGACTCGGTGGTTTGGTTGGTATTATATGTATACCGTGTGTGACGACAACGAAAGTCACATATTGTGAATCTTCTGATTTATGTTATTATTGCAATCAAATAATATAGCCTACTTAATGTACTGATATAAGAAGGTTAGATTTAAATATTAAACAAGACATAGTTTCAAGTAATTCTACATTGAATAATCGGGTGTTTCCATTGCCGTTTTCATATAACGTATGTCTACCCAACACTTAAACCTCAACTTTGCAGGTGGAGATCCCCATCCCAACAGCACTTCCGGCCGCTGTATTCTTGGGTTTTGGTGGTTGTTCACCATCCTGATGGCCTCAACGTACACTGCCAACCTGGCAGCCTTCCTTACAGTCACCATCGCCGAGAAGCCCATCAATAGTCTCGCAGAACTGGCTGCACAGGATGAAATGCAGCCTTTGGTCAAATTTGGAAGTAACCTGTATTCATTGTTTAAGGTAAAACAAATAGTTGTTTATGTGCCTTTAAGTAATCCTGTTGCAGGCGACCCTGTCGGAATCCTGGGTTAGAGCTGGTACCCGGCAATCTATTCTTGTCGTCCGAGGTAACGTCATTGATTGGGTGGTCTGGCTTGTTGACTTTGTTGATTACATGTCATCGTACCCCGACGGAGACAATTGTTGCTAAAAATATCACTGGTCTGTCAAGCCCAGACTCTATTGTATACAGGCGGTTGTCTCATACTAGTCATAGCTGGAAGAGGCGTGAAACAACAAAACAAAAACAAACAAGATTAAAAATAAACAAACCATTGCAGGGGTGGTACGTTGGTCTTAAAACCATATGATAGGATTATCATACACACTCACATACACAAGATATGTAACTTCTGGTATACGCATACCTATATCCTAAACCGTATCCACTATTGATAAAGTAATAATTGTTATAAACATGACATACAGCAATTGATTTAGATTTACATATTTTTCTTGTGGAAATCTAGCATTACACTTTACAGTAACAGGAATGATACTATAGCACCAAACTTCCACAAATGTTCCAATGTGGAAGAATACCTTCACCAATGTCAAATATTCACATTTCGGGTGCAATGATTCGTATACAATATGGAAGCTTATGGAATATATACATTTGTTGCTTCAAATGACCAGCTGTACTTATATTATATATGAGTTGTGTCTGTCTATTACTACAATAAGGGACCGCCCCCGTGATCTAGTGGTAGAGCGTCCGCCCGGAGAGCGGAAGGTCCGGGGTTCGATCCCCGGCCGCGTCATACCAAAAGACGTTAAAAGATGGTACTTGTTGTGACCCTGTCTGGCGCTCGGCATTAAGGGGCTAAAACAAGGACTGGTCAGCTCGGAGTCAGTATACTGTGTCTGAGTGGGGTATTCATGTTCAACTGCGGCATGGTATCTCAGTGAGCTAGCACTATAAATCGGCATCAGTCCGGACGAGTACAAGCAACCGCACAAACACACACACGAACATGCATGTAGCTATATAAGTGCAATAATCTTGGACGCGACGTTAAACCCCATTCCACCACTACTACAATAAGGACGTTGTGATTTATACAACTTTCAGACGTCACTGTATAAGTGTAATAATTTTGAACGCGACGTTAAACACCATTTCACATCACCTCACCTCACCTCACCTATCTCTTTTAGGACGCTGACAACGGAGTATATAAAGACGTGTGGGGAAAGATGAGAGGCTATCCTGTCGTGAAGAGTAATGATGAGGCCCTGCGACACGTGAGAGATGGGACAATGGCCTACATGACTGACAGGTCACAGTTAGAATACATTCTGTTGCATGACTGTGAACAATACTCCCTGGCGGACGAAATCTTCAACACTGCAGGACTCGGATTCGTTGTCCCAGAGAATTCCCCATTTTTAGAAGCATTTAACTATAAGTAAGCATGGTACTCCTCCTAAGAATATATGTAGTGCGTGTTTTCTTCCAAGACCAAGATGATAGTCTGAGTAAATTAGAATAGTAACATATTTTTAATAAACGACAGTCGTCTAAAGGCACATATTGATAGCATCCTATGTCTAGAAATGTTCCACTCATCGTAGTTGGATTCAAACACTGAACATATAGACTTTTCATATTGTTGAGACAGACCATACCTCAATAACATCATTGACAAAAATCAGAACGAAAATAAAAAATAAATATTCTGCTTTATTGTCTTATAACATCTCGTGACCTAAAACAATTGACAGAGAGTTCTTATGATTGCTGAAAGGGTTTTATCGAGTGTATTTATTTGTTATTTCACCCGAAAAGAGAAATATCCTCTTTAAATCCTACTTACTTTACGAGAAGAAGTAACGAACACGTTTTACTGCCCACAAATCGCGAATGACCAGACACAATTTGTATTTGTATACACGGCACCACTCCAACACTTCATCCTAGTCAAATTAGGAGCCAAAGTGTTATTCAAAACAATGAAGGTTTGTGCAAATAGCGGAAACGCCCCAGGGAAGACCTTCTCATCCAATACACTACATTCAACTTGTTTGTATCACTTGGTCTTCATTCCAGAACAAGATATTGCGTGTATATCTAGTGTGTGTTAATACCATCACCAACATTGATTTAGTTCTAAAGTACCAATTTCTTCCATTTATTTTATTGACTGGTGCCAAAATGTGTTTGTGTAAAACTGAGATAAAAGACTAATTGTTTTCCATTTATCTTAATACCATCCGCCCGTGCAGCTTCTGTAGCTACACGCAAGGGCGTCACAACACATGATACACATTAATGCTCTCGTGATCTACATGTTGAAAAGAATCCACTTTTCGGAAGTAACTTACCACGGGTAATTTGATGGCTTTGCACTTCGTAACATCATTAGTTTTTAACTGCAATTATAAAGAATACATTGTAAACGGAATGCACTGAAAATCACTGGTCCAATGTTGTGTTTTTTTACAAATCCAAAACCTTTTTAACACCTTACTTCGAACGTTAAATGGCTGGGGCTATCAGGCGAATCACTGAAATGATCAAAGTTGTAATGGTATGCCCTAAAGCCGAATATGGCACATGTATAATTTTTTTATGTTTCTGTCTGTTCAAACGTGATACCTTTTTGGGAACATCTGGTATTATCAATATTTGATGGTGATTCATGGACGCATGTTCGTGATATGTTCAACCGCACTATACAGTTGTACAATCCACTATCGATAATATTCCTTAAAAACATAGAAAGAGTTTTGTCGTTTTTGTTATAAATTGCAACGTCATGTTTGCCCTTAATGGTATTCTGAGAATAAGTCAATTGTGGGAAAGGATATATGTTGTTCAATATCTTACGTTAAAGTCAAGTAATTAAATGCGGTAATACTCTCGTAGAATGCTAACATTAATAGTGGTTAACATTATACAATTTATAATTTGGTGGAAAGTGAAACTGTTGTTACCGTTGAAGGCATTTAGGTGTAAATTTATCTCTAAACAAAGGCTGTTAAACTTCTACATTAATGTGGATGGCAGAATTCCGATCCTTTCACATATAATCCCCGTGGCATTCATATAAGGTAGGTTGGAATATAGGTTTACATCTAAGAAGTTGTTATTTTTGCGTGAAAGTATCACTGGCTTCTTTATAATATTAAAGAAATACGCTTTTTATTTTTTCAGCATAATGAAAATGCAGGAAGCTGGTTTGATTGATAAATGGAAACAAAAATGGTGGCCGAGTTCAGACAAGTGTAGCGGTTCAGAGAGGACAAGTTCGGCAACAATACTAGGTCTTGACAGTTTGGCTGGACCATTTCTTATATATGCTTCTGTGGTGGGAGTGGCTTTACTGTGTCTCATTTTTGAACTTGGGTTACATGTAACTAAACTGAACATGTTGTGTCAAAAGATAAAGCAATGTCAGTCATCAGGAACACAGGATTTATCTCTGCACCGCACCGATTCAAGGACGTAACGGGCATTAGGAGTGACGCTGTGGTGTAACAGATATCTCTTTTTGTAATCAACTGACTCGAGCGTGTAACCTTGTCTGACGAGTGGGGTTAATGATGCTTCAGCGTTATTAAACGATCACCTTGTGTTTGATCAGGTGACTCTAAGGCATAATGATAACCTGTGTATTATCAAATAAATATTAACTGATTCCGGGACATAACGGTATAAATGTAATATACCGTATTCGACGTAACAAGCGCCCATGGCGCTCTCAAAATAAGAAATATGGGGCTCTTTCTTAGAATATTATTTTGGTGGAAAAAAAGAGAGTTGAAAGATAAATTTTGTGGTTTATGCTGACAGCCTGAAATGTTTATATACGACAGATATATTTTTCCAGAATTTAATTGCCCACAATTAAGGGTGCATATAACACACTAGTGCGTATTATATACGAACAAAAAAGTCTTGTGAACATTGATCAATCGGAAGGGGTGCGAATTTGGATTGTTCACTACTAGCCAATATATTAGCAAATATCGCCATGGGCGCTTATTACGTCGAATACGGTATGTAACTAATATGTTGTAGATTTCATCATATTTAATGTTATCTACCCTGTCCTCTTCTTCACATCATGCTGCACTGACAGCATGACGTCACAGTGTTTGATATGACGCCATCTGCATCTGTCATAATAGATCCTGCTCATATTTACAGTTCACACTATTTGATATCGTTACACAACCATATTCCACCTAACATATGTATCTGTACTTGTGAACACGCAACGATAACTTCGTAGTGTTGTATCAAGTTTTCCCGTGTTTTTTTAGGTGAACACATCACTTGCATGTACATATGTTTGTGACGGGTGCCACCGGTCTGACAGGATTCGTTCACCCTGGTGTCACCACTATTTGATATTGATCCACAAACACGTGCTTATGATGTAGTCGGAATCGGATTCGTCTGCATTTAGCAGATATTAATTATGATTATGGATAGGGTTTTGTCGCTTTTATATGCATGTGTCACTAGGGGGGTGAAGGGGATTTTACAAGCTGACCGATCTTGTACACCCATCCGGTCTCATGCAGTTGGTAGGTCCCGTACACCCAGCTAGTCACATATGTCGCTCATATTGATTATGTATAATGTAATACTACTCTCATTTTTGTAGTGATATTGATTTTGTTCTTAAATACATATTTTGATAAAATGACGTTGTTGTTTTTACACATTCATTACAGTATCATTACATATATAAATTACATATATAACTGTCTGTAATGATACTTGAAGGATTATTTTTATATATCTCATTCTGTTTGGGCACCTACTCCCATCAGCTGTTAACGAGTGAGTGTATGAATGATCTTTATTTCCTCCATTAATTTCGGAGAGTGATCTCCATTTGTAATCATGTTGACACAACATATTTACAGGAATTATGCAGAGAAATTGAATGATTCACTATACTGAATATTTACATGGCGTGATCCTGGTATGAGATATACTGTCTATTGATAGGTCATTGATCGCAGGTTCCAAGAGTTTATTTCTCGTGATAGATAAGATATGAGTCATGCCCAGCTGTCACGGCTCATATCCTCTACAACAGGGGTTATACCACCTAGTAATGTCACAAGTTTTACTTCCTCAACTGCACAGTCTTTAACACACTTGTATTTGTTGTTTCCACAAAATCATAATAGTATCATATCATATTATATATATAAATTCCCTCATCGACATTTTGAATTCTTCTGAAACCATGAAGGATTTACAAATTTATATATATATAAATTTGTAAATCCTTAATGGTTTCAGAAGAATTCAAAATTATTATACAATTAGAGCAATTTATATATATATATATATATATATATATATATATATATATATATATATATATATATATATATATATATATATATATATATATATATATATATATATATATATTTGTAAATCCTACATGGTTTCAGAAGAATTCAAAATGTCGATGAGGGAATTTATATATATATGATATAATATGATACTATTATGATTTTGTGGATGTGTGTGATATATATATATATATATATATATATATATTATACATTTTGAGTTCTTCTGAAACCATGAAGGCTTTACAAATTTATATATATATATATATATATATATATATATATATATATATATATATAAATTTGTAAATCCTTCATGGTTTCAGAAGAACTCAAAATAATAATAATAATAATAAAGGGTGTGTATATATATATATATATGAATTTGTAAAGCCTTCATGGTTTCAGAAGAATTCAAAATGTCGACGAGGGACAGGAATGCGTGAGACCGGTCTTCAGAAGTTGCCTCTATGTACGTGGCTGGTAGTCTATCATAAACACGTACTTCATTCCAACATGAACATTGTGAATAGGAAGCCAGGTTTTTATAGTCGTGGGGCACTTCAGGTCTGGTTCAATTAGAGGTTTACGTGTGTTCAAACAGGACGAAAGTATCATGAATTGTCAATATTCTGGTCTTCTTGGCAAAATAATAACAATTAGAATATGATCGTTATCTGTGAAATGTGAAACAAGCTTTTGACTTTTCACATGATATTCCACCTCTCGCAGCCGGACCCCGTTCTACAAACCCATCTCACCTTTTGTCCAACTCAAACAAGTCACTAAAATGCATAACAATGGGTTAATATATATAAACCATTTCTTATGGAATTACCATTATTGTAGACATTACATACAACTTACATAGTCTCAGTGCAAGTCACTAAAATTAAATATACTACTCAAAAGAGGTTAAGGATCACCCGATTATTTCATATTGGTAATGTTAATCTGTCATGGCATGAGAGATTAACTATTGTAATATGGAAGAATCAGTTGATCCTCAACTTCTTTTGAGTAGTATACATAACAATGGGTAAAGATTATGTAAACCATTTTTATGGAACTATGAGAGAACATAATTGTGGACGTCATTTACAACTTATATCATTTCAGTACAATTAAACCACATTAATCCGGAATATACCGTTTGAAAACAAATCGACATATGTAAGTATTAACGAATCAAAGGAAATAATGTATGTAGGCGTTCCAAACAAGACGACTGTCCTGAAAGCAGGGATTCCAGACTATCGAGGGCCATACTAATGAGGTGATACTGTAAACCCTGTACATACGATATTCCTGGAACTAAAATCGGGCTGTGAGTTTGGCCCACATACCCTCAATATTGTACCCGATAGAGAAGGTGAAACGCGACACTGTGTACGTAGAACAGCTGTTTTTTGCCCTGACGGCGAACGTTGGCTTTTGTTAAGCATACCATGCACGTGTTAACGTATCTTCTTCACATGGTTATCTAAACATATTCATGAAAAATAATAGGATGAAAACATGAGCTCACTTAATGCATGAATAGGATTGTGTTAAGTGTAGAATTCAACATATCGCTCCACCAAACCAGAATGACCTTAAAACATGTTCTGTCAACACTTCACCGAAGTTCTGATGGCTTTCGATCGAGTGATATGTTTTGATTGTATTCAAGTATGCAATTGTAGCGTTTTATGCCCAACATCCCGATGTGGTTTGTCGCTCAAGGGATTTGATATTCGATGACAAGTTATTATGACGAATCACAACTCGACTGTCCACTAATACCACTATCTGCTATGTGTATAAACTCATTAGTTACCACATTCAAAAAATTCTCAACAAGATAGATTATGTAATAGCAATTAATATGCTGTCAAAATTCATTCCATTTCTTCTTCGAATGTACCTTATATGATGATTTTAGGGAGACATTACTGACAGCTATCGATAATCTTGGAGGACAACAAACTCTACATAGTATTCTTTTTGGTGACCCAAACCTAAATGTTTTATATATAAACACAAAATGTATAATATTTGCATATGTTTGAGATGCACACTGTCTTCACTTTCCAGCACATTGTACATATCCTTCATATGAACACTGTATATATATTGCGCATTATGTTTCCACAATGTCAAGCTTCAATTGTAAATTGTTCATTTCCATTTTGCAATATTATGTTTAACTGTATATAGGGAGAAGGCGGTAATAAGCGATGTACTTGTGCCCAATCCCTTTGTCTTTTTGGACAATTAAATATGTTTAATAATATGCTGTCAAAAGGTTATTTATGATCATAATCAAACAGCCATTAGGGAAACAGTGCTGTTAAGAGTGTTTCTTAGAAGAACAATTTTGCACAACAGCATGTCCTGTGGTTAGTATATATTTTTGTCCTAGTCAAACAACCTTGCACAACAATTTCAATGAGGGGTAATTAAAGTATATGCACAACATCATGTTATTGCAAGAACACGTCAGATACACATGAAAAAAATGGTCTTTTGATCAATGTGATTGACATTGGCAGTTATTAAAATGTTTACGAACACTAAGCACGCTTAGTGGGAACATGTTCAAGGTAGCGAGGCTTGTTGCTTTGATCGTAATCCAGAAGTGTTACACGGTGGAAGTTGGACATGTGTAATTATACCCAATCAATACAGTGGCTCACAAAAGTATGAAAATGAGTATGGGGTCGTATCTTTCGGTTAATCATAATGCAATTGTCAAAATGTTAAAAGCTAATTAAGGATAATCTCAAATGGAAGTATCTAGTTATCTTCAAATGGGCTTTTTAAGTAGCACAGCTTCTAAATGTATGCGTGCAACTGAACACAAAAATGTGAATTTATATGATGAAGGAGGCCTTTGCGTCACCTTTGAGTAAACAATGGTCCTTTTCGCGCGCGCGTGCGTGCGTGCGTGCGCGTGTGTGTGTGCGTGCGTGCGTGCGTGCGTGCGTGCGTGTGTGTGTGTGTGTGTGTGTTCGTTGGTGTGTGTGTTGGTGTGTGTTACGTATAAGTATGACCAAAGGCGGGGATCGGAATGGATGCGCGATACGTTTAACATGTTGGCAGGGTATAAACGCAACGCAACTGAGAGTGGTTTTAGGCTTCACGGTGTTTTTAACGCTGTATTTCTGCCATAACTCAGTGGTCAGTTGTAGTGATGAGGTGAAATGAGGTTTAACGTCGCGTTCAATATTATTGCACTTACATAGCGAAGTGCATGCACGTGTGTGTGTGTGTGTGTGTGTGTGTGTGTGTGTGTGTGTGTGTGTGTGTGTGTGTGTGTCTGTGTGTGTCCTTGTATTTTTACGGACTGATGCCGATTTAATAGTACTAGCCCACTGAGATACCATGCCGCAGTTTAACATGAATACCGAAATCAGACACAGTATTCTGACCCCGAGCCGACAGTCCTTATTTAGCCCCTAAATGCTGAGCGACAGACATGATGACAACAAGTACCATCTTAAAACGGCTTTTGGTATGACACGGCCGGGGATCGAACCCAGTATCTTCTCCACTAGGTCAGAAAGGGGGTTGGCCAGATGGTGGAGGTCATAGATTGTATCCACTCTGTTTGATCTTGACTAATTAAGTATGATAGCCATGAACAGCCCTGATATATATATCACAGACGCTACTGTGTCACCACGACCCTGCTTCTTTATGACTACTATTATATGACCTCGATGTATGCGGTTTCGGAATGAATCCATCATGCAATGAAGCTAATTGGATCTAAACAGAAAATTAGGAATATTTGTTCGGCAAGGTGAGGTGAGGTGAAATGAGGTTAACGTAGCGTTCAAGATTTTTGTTGGGTAGAAATTAATATATACGCTTCTCATTAAGGTTAAGAGGTTGCAGTTACCTGTTTCCCATCGGTTTCCAATACGTTTCCGCCAAAATAATGACCTGATTTCTACTGATTCCGTTACATATTAGTGTCATTTATTCGTTTTTAGGTCGGTTAACTTATCCCGAAAATTTATGGAAATCAAACGTATTTTTGGATTTGTAAGATGTTTCGACTATTTTGACTGCAATACATTTTTCAAAGTGTAAAGTAAGTAGAGGGCGAACGTAGAGTGAGAGAGTGAGTATGGCTTTACTCCGATTTTAGGAATATTCCAGCAATATCACAGCGGGGGACACCATAACTGGGCTTCACACATTGTACCCACGTGGGGAATCGAGCCCGGGTCGTCGGCGTGACAAGGGTACGCTTTAACCCTGGGGCGTAAGTGGAGGCATGGGACATTATCTGTACCTGAAAACTGCCTGAGGGGTTGCAGTTGCATTTGGAAACGACAAATGTTTTTATCTATAGCATTGCATCCACGCAGATAGTTTACTGCATGGCGTACTTTATGGCGTATAAAGTCTATAAATATAAATAGAAGTAGAATAGAAGTCGGAACGTCCCACGCTAATGCCCTGTAGCAAACATTCTTGTTCCAAATTTGAGAAAAAAGTACTGCGATGGCGACAAGTTGGAGACATGTTGATCGGAAAAGAGTAGTGGCAACGCACATCAACAAGTTCAATCCCGTCTCCTTCTTTGCCATACCATGCTAGCATGTACAGTTTCCACATTGCTCTTGCTACCACACTGAACATGCACGCTGCATGTATAACTACACATCGACAACGTCACTTATGTAAATGGTTCAATATTCTAACATATGGTTACGTATGTTGACAGTGCTGACAGAATCCCATTGTAGTTCATCAATAGGTAGCAACAGGTTGGACTGTAGGCACATATAATACCTTCTGGCTTGAGCACATGTCGCTCAGCTGGATGGCGTTTGATTTCCAATTACTAAATTGTA